CAACTCCCATGCTGAAGAACTGACCCACTGAGCACTAGAGTAGTACATGCCAGCAATTGATTAAGATGGGGACCCAAAACCTCCAGAGCCAAAAATGTTTTTGATGGAAAAGTTAGCTGAAGTCTCTGGTCTCTTTGAAGCAGGATGGCAAAAGATAAACGCGCAAGATCTCAATTTAGAGAGGTTCATCAAATTCATCAAGGATAGTTACTGAGAGCGTTAGCTGCTACAAGGCCATTTATGATGAGAAAAAGATAACTCTGTCCAAACCTCCCTTGATGTTTATTTCAAGAAATTAAATCCAGTAGTAACGCACCCTCCCATCCTCCAGCAATAGAATCAAACCCTCTCCAGCACCAGGCCAAATATATACTATATATTAATACACACATTTGATTAACTGATGCTAAATAATTGTTCTGACTTACCCACAAATAAACTTAAAAGACAGACTTAGGAATGGACCTCTTTCGTAAGCCGGGGACTGCCTGTATACTCGAAGAACATATTTTATTTGACTCTTCAGCCAAAGCAAAAGCCAGTGACACCAGACTATTCAATAGCAATCATAACCTTGTAAGAATATGAACATGAGTAATGGATTCCAATCACAGCTCAGTCACAAGGAGAATCATATTGGTCCCACATTTTATTGTGGTCACAATGATTAGTAAGTGATTTCAACAGTTGAGAAATATGCTGTATGCATAGTATGTCTGTCCCACAGAGTTGTAACTGATTTATTAACTTAAGTATTTTCCCTCGGGTGCTGTAGACTTTTTTAAGCAAATGGAACTAGGAAATTGTTCCTAATTCCACTGGTTTAAAATTCTCAGCCCTCTTATCAAATATCATTTGGAGGAAGTCACATAGGTTAATGAAATAGAAATTTTTAAAATGAGGATCATATTTTTAACCAGAAGTGGATATGTAAAAGAGATCATGTTTTCTCTCCCCCTCTTCTAGAAAAGAAATAGTTAACATTCAATTATATATGTCAAATCCCTGGAATATCCTAGAAATGACAATGAAGCTACTCTAGAATAGCGTAAGAGGAACAATTGATTGTCTGTTCCAAAACTTAAGATTGCTGATGCTTAAGGTAAGAGTCTTCCAACTAATTTTACACTAAACTACTATGTTATATGTGTGAAACCAAGTACTCTCTTCTGCCCCTTCTGCATGTGGGGCTGACTTGATCTGAGATTGGCACCATTTAGATGGCCCTATAATAATATGGGGTTTCTGAAGAGCTTGAGAAGATGGTTAACTAATGGCTTGACATCTGCTTCTGAGGAAATATAACAAAAAATGCTTTACAACCTTTTTTCTTGAGTTGCAAGATTTCCTATTTCCCAATGGGAGGAACTCCTACCTTATCCTACCTACTATTCCCAAGATCATGCATCTCCTGCCAGATGGCTTAGAAATGTTGCCCTCTCTTCCACTGCAATTATAATATAAGGAAAGAATGAAGAGGGGAACAGAGTGTTATTTAGCTATTTTTTTTACATTCTTCCATTGCTAGTTGGAAGAAACATTGGCCAACATTAAAGGAAGATGGAATGCAAGAGTAAGGACAACCACACAGTACTTCAGAAAGACTTCCAGAGGCTCTGAGGGAGTTCCCTTTGTCTTAAAGCACATGAGAATCCAATCTCCCCTTTCTCAATCTTAGAGATTGCTACCTACAACTAGAAGAGTGGAGAAAATGATATGTCCGAAGAAAATGAGCAGTATAATAATGTTCAGAGACACAGTTTTGGATAGAACTTTGTGGGGATTTTTGATGAATTACTAGCGCTGATCCTGTTAGGAACTGATATCATTCAGAATCTGGTCTGCCTTGTTTGAACATTGCCAAATCCCTTCACTTACAATCTTGTTAACAAAGGCACTCCGATTGCAATTTTATTCATATCTTTCTGGGATTCAGCCACATGTAGATGCACCACTAATTATGCATAAGATTGTGTTGTAACTTTCTTAGCATTTACCACAATAGCCCCTATCCCCAGATACCGGTAAAGGTCAATGCAACTGTTCCACCAATAATATGTAGTAAAATGAAGTTACACTGTCCTTTAGAAATGCATGCACTATCTCTGGCACAATGTACCGTAAGTTAACACCATTGTATCCATTCTAATTAATAGATTCAGACATAGGGTTTACTATAGCATAAGAAAACTTTCTTTTAAAAAGATTAAATGCTAAAAAAAAGATTATATGCTCCAAATTATATGAAAAGGTAGGTTCATATCCATGTTCCTTTCTCCAGTATTTGAATATAACTTATGGAAAAGTCAGCACCTAACCTTCTGGACCTAACCTCAACATCTGTGATTGGTCATCACAGCAGTGAAAGGTCAGACAGCAGATGCAATTGTCGTTCTCCATTGACCCATGGCGAAGATCATAAAATATGAAGACAATTATTCCATAGGAGGCGGATGGCTGCATTCTATAGTCAGTGTTTAGGCTAATATTTTCAAAACAGAAAAAAATTATCAAGACATTAAAACCTATGAGCATTTTCATAATTATATCTACAGCAACTTCCCCCAGCCTTATGTCTTCCAGATATAAGCACAGCTGTCTAACAATTCTAAACAACTGCAGTATCTGATGAATATTGTCTGGTAGCTTGAAGGAGGCTAATTTACATCAACTTTTGCTTTCTTTCCTGCATTATGAGCTTAAAAATGATATTTGAATTCAATTATGACTCATTTCGGATTTCACTACAATGAAATCTCACATCCAGAGTTGATTTGATAGGTCTTGTAAAGACATATATACTCAATTCTTGGCTGCTTCCCTACAATAAAAAAGAATAGAAAAGAAATAACTAAACAGGATTAATAATGATTAGGGTCAGTTTTGGGAAGTACATCTGTACTTCTTTCATGACATTCTATGAAGAGGGATAAATTGAAATGTTTTGGAAAAGCCGAGGAAAATGAGGAGGCATTTTATTTGATTTTCATCAGAATCTGAATAGTTTTCTGAACTATTTAAAGTTGTAAATGTGATTTATGAACTGCTCTTTTTTTTTTTTTAAAGTAAGGTCTGGGGGGGGACAGTAAATGATTTCCAGACTCCGTTTTCACAAGTAGGAAAGGAAATATTACTCTCTCCAGGAACTATTTAACATTGTACCCCGTCTAGACACACAGACTTTCCTATAAATAATTGCTTTGGGAAATCTGAATCTGTATGTGCCTGTTTTTATTTCACTATAGCAAGAAAAGAATTCCCTCCTTGCCAGCTGTCTTTTTTTTGCTTGAGTGCTTTAAATCCTGATACCACATTTCTTATCAGATATTAGCATTTTAAAAGAAACATCAATACTGCTCATATTGCTACCTATATTCTAATAAGGGAGGGGAAAAAAAAGAAAGTGACCAGATATCAAGATGATTGACAGAGAGGTAGTTGTGTATAACTGAGATGCTTTGGAAAGAATTGTGTTGATCTATTAACAACAACGAAACATGTTTAATTTCTACCAGCATGTTAAAACATTGCTGATAGAGGAGAATATTTGTAGTTCAGGGTTGAAATGAGGGGTCCTTGGTGCTCTCTGAGCTTGGTTATTTTCTTGCAAACTTTTCATTACCCAAACTAAATAACATCATAACTAGCATTGATATTATGTGTAACTAGCATCCATAAGAGAACAACAAGCTCAGAGACAACCAAGGACTTCTAAAATGTTGCTATCAAGAGCAAAAAAAAACCCAGGATAAACAGGGGTAAATCCCTTGCTATGAAAAATCTTTTCTTTCTGCTAGAAAATTTGGCTGACTGATTATTCAGGGACGGATTGAATAGTCAGTGTCTCCACTTCTGGTTCTGGCCTGGATCACATTACCAGAAAAGCTGGGTATCTGCGTGAAACAAATGGACAAAACCAGACACCTTTTCCCACTGGGTTGCTTAATGCCCGTGAAGCTTTTTTGCTGCTCTAACTTTAGCAGCACCTCTGCTTCTAGGTTGGCTCCACTTTGGCGACAGAGCCCTGGGAAGACACAGTGATCTATTGCCTTTTTCCACTGCAGTGTGGGAGGTGAGGAGGGCAGTTCGGCTGGAAATATTTCTGGTTTTTATTTTCCAGCCTGGAACACATTCTCTGGAACAAACAAATACCAGAACAGCTCTATGAGACATCTGCATTTTAGAGACTGCCTTTGTAGAGATGACTGCTTTATCTTCCTTTGAAAAGTACAGGGTCACATCAGCATTTTGTGCTTGGTGCACAGCATGGGAGGATGGCGGTAAGAAACAGGAGCAGCTATAGGCTTAACGGTCCTAAAATCTTAAAAACCATTTCAGCTTTCTAACTGAAATCTTTCTACTCTTTCACTTGTGCCCTGAAACTCTCAAGATCAAAAATCATCTCTCTAGAGAATAACCTCAGGATGCTGAAATAAAGAGACCGACATGTCACGGTTAAGAAATAAATCTTATTTCATAGCTTCTTTGTTTCCCATTTCCATCATCAGTTCTCAAAGTCTGGAGAGGAGAGAAACTGGCAAATATATATATAAAGATGCTTCCCGCAAACAGATTCCCTCCCCTGCTCCAATTGCTTGAGGTAGGTTCTTTAATTTCCCTTCATTTTCATGAAGGGCATCCCAATCTTTTTCTTTTCTGGTCAAACCCCCATCCCCCCCACCCCCCTTAGAAAGTTATGTGATGAAAAGATGAAGGCAAAGTGATTTTAAGCATGTTAAAATTATGTATAGTCTAAGAACAGAAAGAGGAATTCAGACACAGACCGTTTGTTCCATCAGGATATTCCATATTACCCAAATAATGACACAAGTAACTAAAGCTATAAAGCCAATATAACACAGATGATGGAGAGAGATAGAGAAATACAGAAATATAGAAATACACACACACACACACACACAGAGAGAGAGAGAGAGAGAGAGAGAGAGAGAGAGAGAGAGAGATTTTGTTCTGCAAATGTTCAGCAGTTAAAAACATACCTGCTTTCAACAGGTGGAAATCTCTGCCCATACCTGTCGTATACCAGGACCATGGAGTGGATGGAGAAGATGGGGACCTTTTCATCTGTTCAAACTATAGAGGGGCTACTGGAACATCCGAGTCGCCACTCCTCTTTTAAGCGGCTGGCACAAGTGGTCCTCTTTCCTCACTGCTTAAAATCTGGAAAACCTTTTACTTTTACCTTATATGAGCTGAAAGATGATGCTGGATGGCTGTCGGCCACATCTGTCAGGAGCCCCGAGCAGACCATTCGCTAAGGCTCAGTCACGTGCCACTACTGCCTTGACCTGCAACAGTTCAAGCGAATGTTGGTTTTACCCCCTAAGGAAGGCGTGCTTGACAATTTTCATATTTCTTCTAAATTTGGAGATTTCAGACAATGCTCAGAATGCCAGAGACCCATGTGGAAGTCATTAACGCTGGGAAGGAGGGAGGGAGAGAGAAAGAGGAAGGAGGGGGAAAGAGGCCGAGGGAAGGCGGGGAGGGGGGCAAAGGAGTGAGGCCTGGATGCTGTTGCCAGCTACATGCCTGGGAACGTAAATGAACTCACTTAGGGAAAGTTGTTTGTAATAATTTGCTTCCTTTCCAGTTCTCCTGCACCAACACATGCTTAAAGGGGATAAGTTCTACCCAGTCAGTGACAAACGCAGCAGAAGCAAAATGAAAATATATATATATATATATTTGGAAGGCAGTATTTTTGAACCCATAGAATGGAGTTGCTCCAGGCAGGCTGCAGCCGACATGGTTCAAAATCTGAAGAGAGACAAAGGCACTTCTCTGGCCTGGCTTGAGTTACCTTGTGATTTTTTTTTTTTTAGGTTTAGAAAACTTCATTTGACCAGGCTAAGAAGCATATAAGCAGATGAAAAGCAGCATACAAATTGATTTCTTTCTCCTAGCCTAAACTTTTCTTGATTCTCTCTCTCTCTCTCTCACTCTCTCTCTGTTTCTAGCTATACTGTAAATCTAGAACAAAGGTGACATAGAATCCCCCCCCCATGTGTGTTTTTCAGTCTGATTGAACTTTTCAAACAAGGATTATGTTAGATATCTAAAGTAGACTCTGAAGTTATAAAGAAGGTTGGCATGGTGAGGAAATATACTCATGAAGTCTTTCAAATCAGGTACAAAATTGGAAGCTAGAATTTCTAGTGCAGCTTTCTCTAAATGCTATCCATTTAGGTTTTAAACATTGGATAAAATATTGGCATAGCACAAGGATTCTCAACCTCTGGTCCATGGACTGAGACTGGTCCGCAGCCCATTGTGGGTCCACGCAAGCAGCAGGCAAGCATGTATGAAAAATCATTCCCTCCCCCCGCCACCACCCACTGCCACCACCACCACTGCCGGTCCACGGAGGCAGAAAGTCTGAGGATTGCTGGTATAGCACATACTGGCGATTAATTTGGTAAAACCCATGGAACATTTTTGGGAGAAACTCAGTGAAAAGGGAAGGAGCCCTTTTTGTCCAAATGGAACCAAACTGCTTGAATTTACCATCAAAAAGTTATTAAGCTGATTTGAGGGACAATTCAATGAATCCGAAGACCTGAGGAGTTGGGCCACATATACATTTAATAAAACAACAACAGCAACAATTATTATGGTTTATCACACAGTCAAACAGATATTTAGATTGGATTTAGCCTTTTTATCCACTTATTGAGTCTTTCCCAAGGACCCGGGATAGAAAGATGTTGTTGTTCGATGATGTTATTATTCTGAAGAGATGACTGATTTTTTTTTGTTTCCCCAAAAAGTGATAGGTCAGAAATAGGACATAAACTAATAGTAGAATGTGATAGACAAAAAGCCCAAAGGAAAGTCAAGCAACAGAAATATTTGGGGAACAATCCCATATTAGTGTTTTATACTAATGCTAGCAGTTTGAAATTGTTCCCAAATGCTTGTTGTATATATTAGTAGGTCTGTGAAGTATAAGGATGTAAAGAAAATCTAAACATTCATCAGCAAATGAATGGCAAAAATACATGTAAATAACAATGATCATTCACAAGCAGCATTTAGGTGAAAATATTTTTCACCTGCTTTCAGTCAGTGATATCATTGGTGATAAAATAGCTATCATGGCGGTAATAAGCTAAATAATATTTGTTATGATCAACAGAAAATTATCGACATAACACTGCCACTATAACAGTGGCATTTTGCAAATTTAAGTTCCTTCAAGAAGAAAGCAAGGAATGGGTGAATTGGGGTGGTTTGTTTGAATGATTTCTACATAGGTAACGGATATTGTGTGTTGAAACAAAAATGGAAAGTCTCATGTAGCATACTGTAAAAGATTATTTTATGGGATAATCTTTTGTGGATGATAACAGACTTGAAATGCAGGCATAAAGAAAGGAAAGAAAACCAGGAATAGACACTCATCATTAGATACGAACTGTGAAAAAAACTGGGAACTGCTTCCTAGAATAGTATGCCTCTGTGACAAAGAAAGCATGATGACCCATAAAGCAAATTTCTCAAAACGAAAAACCACCTCCATGGAATTACTGTGAGTTATGATATCAATTTCTCCAAATTGTTTTATCCTGTGGACATACTATTGTCCACCTGCCCGAAATATTAGGAATGACCCTGAGACGGAAAATTTAATCAGGGAGGCATCCAGAAAGGCATGCTGTGTAAACTGAGGTAATATCAATTGTTGTGATAGAAAAGAAGAAAAATATTATTTCACCTCTAAGGATAGACCTGAATCCCTTTCTACAGGATAGGACACATCTAGACAGCATACACGATATAGTAAGACATATAAGTGTTTCACTGACAAGAAACAGTGATCCCAATATTTTCAAACTTTATTTAAATGTCACAGGGAACATATGCAGAAAATCCAGCATATGCCAGATTTTTTTTTTATTGGGGGACAAGTAAAAAGGAAACAAAGAAAATGAAGTGTCAAAACTCTTGAGATTAATCATTTTGGGCTCAACATCATAATTTGTTTGTTTGTTTGTTTATGAAATTGATTTGCCATCACATATCTAATGTCTCTGGGCGGCTATAATAGTATAGCTTGAACATAAATTATAAGTCAAACTCTATCACCATCCCCAAGAGGATAGCTACCCAAATAATAGGCAGTGTTAAGGAAGCTTTGACTTTAGATTCCTTTAGACTAGAGATGGGCAACTGAGGGTCTATGGTCACATGTAATTATTTTATTTTATTTTATTTTATTTTATTTTATTTTATTTTATTATTTTATTTTATTTTATTTTATTTTATTTTATTTTATTTTATTTTATTTATTTCATCAAGCATGTAATAGGTAATAATGACCATACCTTACTCGAATCCTGAAACTCCTAAGGCTATTTCCATCAAGATTTAGTAGTAAAGTTCTGAATTTCAAAAGCATATTTTTGAGTAGGAGGGGCTGATGGATTTACTGGAAGAAAGGGTAGCAATTTGATTTCTAGAACCTTCTATTCTCATTCCCACTCTTATTCTCCCTCAAAAACAAACAAACAAAAGCAGGTAAAAGAAATGCGGCATGCCTCTTCCGCTGATACTACTATGTCACCCGATATCTTTTTCCGCAGCCCTACAGAAGGTGGGAAGTTTTAATTCCTCTGTTCTGTTTTAGGAAATGGATGCCTTGTTCAAAAAAAGAACAAAATGAAAAACATCAAATTCAGAGGTCATAATCATTTCAGTATTAGCTGCTGGGAAACACTAGCATGAAAGCATTATTTCATTCTGTTTTACTAGTGAGCTTCACACAAGCTCAAGTTGGTCTCTATGAAAGCAATAAGTGGTGAGATTGGCCTATTGATCCAGTGCAACCCTCGTTATGTTCTTACCATTAGAGCTTAGCTACTCAGTGCTGGAGGCAGGAAAATAGCCTACATAGCCTGCATTGCACTTCCAATATTAGTCTTTGACGTTCAAATGTGGTGGTGGAAGGAGTTTGTTATCGACGTTGAGTTAAAATATAATCTCAGTAGCTTTTGTTTTGTTCCTGTACTCTCATGAATTGCTTGATTTAGCCTTGAAAGTGTAGAATATTTGTGATGGAAACTGAATCATAAAGGAAAAACGTTTCTGGAGACCTGACTACATTTTCGTTTCTGAAGTTTTAAATAACAGATAGGAGCTCTTCTGTATAAGAAGACCAACTGAAGTTACAGTGTATGCGTACAGGATGGAATTGTGTGTACTAAATCAGAATAAATGTGCATTTTTCTTTTATTGTTTTGTTTATTTGTACTTTTTAATGAAAGAGATTTTGTACTGTTTAAATCCGGGCAAATTTTATTTCAGTCAGCCAGTCAGTCCCAGTGAATCCACTGTGGCTGATTGGATAGGCAGCCACCATCTTGTTATGCTCTTCAGAGAACAAAATGCCTTGTACTTGCTCTGAGATAAATTATACTTCTCCCATGTTTCATTTGAGGACAGAAATATAAAACGTGCACATCTATGGTTAGGAAACATGAGCCCATGTATGGTAGGGTCTGTCTCAGAGTGATTTAATTACTGGTATGATGAAAAAACCATGAAAGGCATAAAGCTTACAGGAGCTCTCTATCAGCAGTTTCTTTTCTTTCGTATTGTTCTTCTGCTAATGAGGACGGCTAGCTAAATCCCAGACAAAGAATCTCAGTTGGCCTTGATGCTTAACATCTTTTCTTCTTCAAAGCAAGACACAAAATCTATCACAGCACAGGGGTTATTTTATGTAAGGAGTTGAACTGTGAGCAGGAAAAATATTCCTAGAGTAAAACTGGACATAGATTTACTAGTTCTTTTTGATCACTAGAAGATTATGATCTGTCTGATTCGAGTTCCTCTGACATTGCTCTCTGTTGGGGGGGGGGGAGTGAGTGAATATGTGTGTGTGTTCACCTTGGCCCTCTCTATGGAACAAAAAGTGAAAAGATATTTTGTTAGCAATGTATCTCCAGGTAACCAATGATAATCATGATGACAAAAATAAGTGTGATTGTATGGTATTGTTCTGCTAGATAGGAATGACATTAAGAGAAATTAGAAGCCAAAAAGAAGCAGCCAGAACAAAAT